AACCCGTAAGACCTCCGTTCATTTTCGGAACACAAATTAAAATATTTTTGATGGAATCTGAGAGCTCTCTGACCCTCCCATAGACAGCAAGGGTCCTTACACGATCAAGGCCCAGAAACATAGCAAGGACATCGGTAAAATAATCCATGTGACATCAGGGGTTCAACCGTAATTTTACAAAGCTACGAGAATACTTTTTGAGCGCAAAAGAAAAAAAATAACGACTTTTGTTCAACAATTCCTCGTTGCTGTTTTGCAATTCGTTGTTGCTGTTTTGCTTTATTCAACACAATGCTGTTTTGTGTCAGCTCAGCTGTGCCACGCGGATACGCTGTTTATGTAGTTTACGCTTTGATTTGAACGAAAACAACGTATCCGCGTGGCGCAGCTGACACAAAACAGCATAGGCAATTTACGTTCAGTGGATACTCTCCAAAATGGCGCTGGGTGATGCGGAGGAGACATTGAATAAAGTCGGGTTTTTTTTCTTTCTTTTGCGATCAAAAAGTATTCTGTAGCTTCCTAAAAATACGGTTGAACCCCTGATGTCACATGGATTATTTTACCGATCTCCTTGCTACGTCTCTGGACCTCGATCGTGTAAGGACCCTTGCTGTCTATAGGAGGGCCAGAGAGTTCTCAGATTCCTTCACAGATATCTTAATTTGTGTTCCGAAGATGAACGGAGGTCTTACGGGTTTGGAACGACATGAGGGTAAGACATGAGAGTAAATAATGACATAATTTTTGAACCATTTTTGGGTGAACTATCCCTTTAAATATGATGCTTATCTGCTCCACTAAATTACTTACTGATTAATAGGCTTACAGGTGATAGTAGGCCTACATCTGTTTCACACTGAAAGCGAATGCAAATGACAACATGGATATTGCTAAGTAAGCTTCGTGGGGGAAAAAATGTAGAATTGAGAATACACTACAAAATAAAATGGTAAACGTACATAAACTTGCTAAGATGCTGTTTCTCGTAAGGAAACTTTGTGTTGAAATTTCTGTCGTTCGAGAAAAAACGTGTCAGACAAAGAAGGCAGTCGTAATTACAGAACCAGTATCATTATTAATAGATAACTGAGGAGAATAACCCTTGTAAATTGCCAGAATATTATCAGGTTTTTGTGGAATGAGCAACACAGTGTGGGAGTAATTTATGAAATTAATATATTCAAGGAAGTCTAGCCCACAAACTCGTCGATATAGCAACTTTAAAGACTTGACTGTACAAAAATGTACAGGATGCAGTAAATGTGCCTGCGCTTTCCAGGAGAGAATGACAAATATATGATTGTTTAAAGTTCAAGGACGCCTGAAAGGTCCGCCCACAAAAAGGTTTATTGGCGGTGTAGGAATGTACACAAAATAAGACACAAGGGTCCACATTTGTGAGCCCAAACATACTGATTTAGTCAAATGAAATCAAATTGCTTTATTAACAATTTTACGCAATTAGGTTTGTTTTGAAATCTATACCTTTTATTCCTCACTGTATTACCTTAAAGATTGGACGGCACCTCTTGTTGAAATACAAAGTAGGCTATACCGAAGTATTAGCGCAGTATTAGAGAGAGAAAATGGATGCATTAATACATAATTATCTTTTTGCAAGCTAAAAAGGGTCCACGAAAGACCAAGAAACATGACAAAACCACAGCTAAGCAAAAGTCCGGTTAATAAGGAATTAATCACATTCTGAAAACATTTTATAAAGCTCTGCAGTACCAAGAGTGACAACTAGTTTAAGTCCTGATGTTTCATTAACATCTAACCCCCATCACACTGACAAATTACAACAAAAATTAAAACAAAATTAGATCACCCATTGGGAAACACAACAACAAAGTAAAATACTATCTGGTCATACATAGAAAGCACATCATTTGGAAAAAAATGAAAGTCACCTTTATAAAGTAAAGCCTCAAAAACAGCCTCACTAGAAAAGGACATGAAAACATGGCTGCCACAAGCGGAAAGGTTGTGCCCACACTGTGATCAATACAGAAGACACAACTTCATTTTCTGACAAAATCTACAAAACACAGGGACATCCTGTAAATGTTTAAAAGGATACACTGCACATCTGACAACCTTGACACAAGCACTGCTGTGAAATATTGTATGTCTGCCTGCCATAATAAGACTACTGAATCTGTCTCCTTAATTCAACTTTATGCTCATTACAATAAAATTATTCATTTTAAGTTTGCCCTTCTATAAGGAACTAACTAGAATTACTTGCACAGTTAATATTTCTTAGTTGAATTATTCTTTCTACTTATTTAGTTCACATTTACACATTTTTGAAACCAGGACCCGGGTTGCTAGTGCTATAACTATATTGCGCTACAGGAAAGCTGCTGCAGAGTACTCTGCACTGTTAACTCATTTTATTTTACATTTTGTGCACTACTCATATTTTATTTGTTAACATTACTTTTTATTTGCACCATCAGTTTACTTCAAATGTATTATTTTATGATATCTCACATGTTCTCGTTATAGGTAGCTATGTCTCAAATGTTTTTGGAAGACAAATGTACGGTTTTTCCTTGTCAATAAGGAACACCAAAATTGACCACTGAGAGAAAGCGAGAGAGAGAGAGAGAGAGAGATCTTATTTTTTCCAACAGACGAGGGCGCACGAGGACAGCTTTGATGATTGTGCCACAGCGGCCACACAAATAGAGCGTTTGACGTCACTCTCCAACATGCGTGTCCCATCTACTCAAGGCGGTTATGTGTAGAAGCGCTTGTAAAACGTCCCCGGATTTCCCATACGCTAAACGAGAGAGGGAGAACATGGACGAAGAATGATGAGAAATGAGAAGATGGTAGTGACGTAGGCATAGGCCTAATCACCGTTTCCAACAAAGCCTTTTAAACGAAAAAAAAACCCAATTACAACATTAAAAAAATACTCTATTAATTAACTCTTAACCTGGCTACTTGCTCTCTGTAGAAAGAAATAGCCTACATGAGCATTTTAATTAGCCTATTTTAATGAACGTAGCCGAATTAAAATTAAATATTGTATTTTAATGAAAACATTTGGGCTTATTTTCGGAAAACGTCTCTTGTTTTTCAGAGAGAGGGTTGTTAGCCTGCAATTAAGATAAAGAAGTCGAACTAATTACATCCCAGTAGGTTATGATCCTATTGCTGCCTCTGTGGTGCATCATCGGTGTTGTTAAGTGCGGTTATAAGGAAAGGCCACGCAGTTGTAGCGGGCTATATTACGCCACCAAAAACGATTAAAGCTATTTGGGTTGAGAAGTAATATCAAGTTAAAACCTCCCGAGGCTATATTCTTTAAAGCTTTTGAACTTCATCACAGCTTGTTGTGAATTTTTACTGCCTGAACTCCGACATCAAAGCAGGAGGGAGTGGCCTCCTCCCTGAAAGCAAGCAGTGCGCTAGGTTATCTTTGCATAACCTATGTTAAAATATACCCAACAGACTCGTCTCCTGGAGCCCGAAACTCATAAGCCTTACCATCATTAAAGTGTTGGTTTTGTCAATGACCAAGACACAGAACAGGATTTTGAACTTTGTCCATTTCAGTCTGCTACCATGCTTTCAACTATGTAAGACATGAACATAAAACTAAATGTAAACATGTCTAAAAAATAAAACAAGACAATGAGATCTAATAAATAATGTCAAATATAAATTCTATAAAGAAAACACTGAAAACGTATTTATGAAGATTATCATAAATACATATGCTAAAAACAACGTAAAATTGGATTCTATAAGACAAAAACAACTATTTTGCATTTTGTAATGATGGGCAGGATTTGAAGATCAATATTTTATCTGCTCCATCATTATTTTATTACTTTTATTATGGTTCATTTGATATCGGCATGAATGACACAAATATATGCTACTATTGTGAAATTAATGTGCTCTAATAATTGTGACTAGACTAATCATTTGAATCCTGGAAAGTTCAAATTGAAACATATTCCAGAAAATGAAACTGGACAGCTGCCTCCCGCCAGCAGGCGGTGAGGGTAGGCTATGCATTGTTGGCGCGGCTCAAACAAATCTAATTAAATGTCAAATAGCCTGTTATTCTTACTCTTGGTCACGAGGACCTGACCTTTTTGCACTTTACTTGACACCACTTTGGAAGATCGAGTTAGGGCGGGAGAAAGAGCGAAGGGAAGAGAGCGTGACTGAGATGGTGCGCTGAAACAAGAAAGGATGGAACTTGTACACTTCAAATTACGCTGCTGGCAGAGAGACAGCCCTCCTCATCTTTGGAATATTCCCATTCAGTCTGACGTCTTCTAACGCGCACTGACTGTGTTGATCGGCGAAGAACATGTGCTAATATATTCCGAAAGGCTGCCATTATGACTCCTTCTTATCCAGGGGGCTCAAGACAGGGCGATAATAGATAGGGTTTGACCATATCTGCGTTCTATCACATTATTCAAACCTTGACTGTCCTCTTTAATGGACATTAGTTTTTTTCAGCCATCAAAAAAGCCCTCAACCATTTTTTCTTCTCTTATGTGAGAATATTATTTAACCAAATTATCAGAGTTCAGTGAAGCAAAAATGTCTTGACATTCTGGTTATTATTGGGTCTACTGTGAGTATCAACATCAGTTAAAAATAAGTTAACAAACAGTGAAAAAAAATTCTAAGAAGAAAATACATGAATAGTCAAACACTTTGTATGACTCAACCAAAAAGTGTAATTATCTTGTAACTTAAATGTACAAGATGCGCATCTTACATGCTTCTAGTATTTAGCTGGTGATGTGCCGTTGGTGATGTTTTGTGTTATAGCCTTGAATTCACCTCTAGTCTCTGCTAGACTACTCTCCCGCTCTGTTTATTCACTCTAAATCGACGTGTGGCGTCACTGAGCCTTCTATTATGACGACTGCCCTATTAAGAATGACAGCGCTTGAGGAGAGAGAGGGCAATGGTGATCCCTCCCAGAGTTCGTGCAGCACTCTCGCGCGCTCGCATCGCACAGCTTCTCGTCTGCGTTTGCTGCTCCAAACTGTCTTACCAAGCTCCAGGAGATCTGGCAATTTGCTCTCGTCTAACGGTTATGGACAGCGCTAAGGACATGCTGATGCGCGCCGAGGGTGGTCAGGTTGGCACACTGTCTTCCAAAACTGGCTCTAATTCGACGGAGGCTACTGGAGACCCCATGCGCAATCTACCGGACAAACCAATGAACCAGAACAGCCTAAACCCCGTGCCTTCTTCGCAAAACCTAGTGTATGACGCGACAATGGGACAACGTAGCGGAAAGTACGGAGATGTGTCACTTGCTAGCAAGCCCTCCGCGCCGGATAGAGATTTGTCAGACATCCCTAACAAAGATGCCAGCAGCTCAGATGCGGAATCAGACCTCTATGAGGAAATAGATGTCAGTTGTACCCCAGAGAGCATGGATTACCCGAGTGGACAAGGTAAAAACTGCGGCTCATAGTATTATTGTTTATTTGAATTTATTTATTCTTATTTTCTTCTCTTGTTTCTAAATTGAGTGAAATTATTAAGAAAACAAGCGACCAAATTACCACGCTTAATCGATCTGACTTGTAGCCCACTGTTTGTGAGAGCGTTCGATTGTCAGCTCCTGTTACGTTATTGCAAGCTTTTTGAATTAACGAGTCAATTACAAGGCCACAGTGTATCTGGGGTGTTGTCCAGGCTTTAACAAGTTGTCAAATCATCTTACACCAATCTGCAACATCTCAATAACTTTTTTTTTTTTTGGTGAAATTGCTGGCTTATTAAAAAAACAATGTTTAAGAATGTCCATTGCAAAACGTTTGAATTTAACTTTAACATAATAATGTAATAAATGCTTAACTACGGAGTCTGTTCGTACCTTTTTGTTTTCTTATTTAAACGTATTATTTAAAGACAAATAAATGAAGTATACAGCTATTCTTAATACACAAATCAACAAAGGAATGATTCAAATAATTTTCCTCGGACGTGCACATTCGTTCAATTAAATGTATTATCAAATCAAGTTATTTGTTTAGTTTATATTTTGGTAATAATAATAATATTTTCAGAGACTGAGACAGCATGTTTTATCAGCTTTTCGCCAATGGACACTGATGGAGAAGAGCTAATAAAACATGCAATCTCTATCTCTGAGCTTGTTTTTTTTTTTTTTTTTGCGCTAGCTATTTTGGCTATTTGTTAGAAATCTCAGTAATATTAAAAATATATATCGAATTAAATTCGCAAGCAATACAGTATGAACGCTATAATAATAAATCGGTAACCAGTGACCTATGTCCTAAAATGTTATGTCACTAATGATTTTTTTTTTCCTGTAAGGACTGGCAATGGGCGGTAAAGAAGTCGGTGTGGACAATAAGATGGACTCAGGCCCCGGTGCTCTCAACTATGGTTCTGACCAGATGCGAAGGTATCGAACAGCATTCACGAGGGAGCAGGTAGCACGACTGGAGAAAGAGTTTTACCGGGAAAATTACGTGTCCAGGCCACGTAGGTGCGAGTTGGCAGCTGCCTTAAATTTACCGGAAACAACAATAAAGGTAATGCACTGCGCCTCCGATTCTATTTTACGTTCATTTTTAGATATTTATTTTGATAAAGGTGGCCTGATAGATTACCATCGAGCTACTATGGATATAAAAATAACCCCGCCAAGATTGCTCCATAAATCAATCAATACGAGCAGGCTCATCAAACGATGAGAATTTTAAAAAGTTACAAAACACAATTCTATAAAAGATGTCTGACCTCTTATTGTTTAATTATGGGACCATTTCTCTTGGTTTATTGCTCATCGAAATTGGCTAGTGCCTACATGCACTAGGCCTATATTACCTTATGCCTACTTTGCTACTTTTGGTTACAGGTTTGGTTTCAGAACCGTCGCATGAAGGACAAGAGACAGCGGTTGGCTATGACTTGGCCGCATCCTGCCGACCCCGCCTTTTACACCTATATGATGAGCCATGCTGCAGCTACCGGCAGCCTGCCCTATCCGTTTCAATCTCACCTTCCTCTACCATACTACTCTCCACTCAGCGGTGTGACTGCAGGTTCAGCCTCTGCCACCGGGGGTCCATTCTCCAATCCTCTGCGCTCGCTGGACAGTTTTCGGGTGCTTTCGCATCCATACCCGCGTCCTGAGCTGCTGTGCGCCTTCAGACACCCATCACTGTACCCCAGCCCGGGTCATGGGCTTGGTCCCGGGGGAAGCCCATGCTCTTGCCTTGCCTGTCACGCTGCCAGTCAGTCAAACGGGCTCCCACATAGGTCCAGCAACGCAGACTTCTCGTGTTCGCCCACGACCAGGACTGAGGCCTTCCTCACGTTCTCGCCAGCAGTCATCAGCAAATCATCTTCAGTGTCTTTGGACCAGAGGGAGGAAGTGCCACTAACAAGATAAGACGACAGCAGGAGGCTATAGTTTCTTCGGGTACTATCCGGATCAGCTTTGGGCACATTGACAGTATTTAATAAGTCATCGCATGAACTACTTAAAGCAGCTTGCACACAACAGCAATCTGCTTTAGTCAAGTTTCGAAACTGGATGTTTTCCAGTTATGAAGCTATATGTTGTGCAGACGAGAGTCTACTTATACACTGTCAGGCCACGGACTTTTAAATAATCTTTGGAGAAATTAGATATTGATAACAGAGATATCATATTAACTCAAATACATTTTAAGTACTACACCCTATAAACAAAAATGTGATAGGAGACAAGGAAATGTATTTTTTTTTTTAAATGACTGCAGGATAGCGCAAAAATCATAATTTATAGGCTACTCTTTCATACATACCCATACAAATTGACCCACATGCAGTTTCTTTCACATTAAAACGATGTTTTTCATCTAGCTTTTTAACAAGGGGATTTGTTAACCGAGCACGGTTGGCTCATTATTCCTCCTCCACGAACACCCGGTCCCGGTAGCACACCGAAATGTGCAGATGCGAGGGAAATTAAGGAGTGATGTATTCGGAAGGGAGAAATTTTGAATGTTGAATTAATGATAATGCTGCACGCTCAGAGACTTGTCTGCCAAACCGGTAACAAGGCACCAGGGGAGCGGATTAAGAAGCTCCATGCGAGGTTTGCTTGTTTGACGGGAGAACATGCGCTAGAGATCCATTGGACAATCACATGCGGCAAATTGGGGCAAGCCAGAGATGCCTGTCTTACCCGCATACCGTCAGCTGAATACCCCCATCCCGTATCGTCTCTTTCCGGCCTTGCTGTTGGCTTCACCTTCACACTGAGACACACAATACAAATAAACACACACACACACACAAGTAAAATGATAAATCAAGCATAAATGAGCTAATATTTATGGACATCATCAGACGTGGCATTATTTATTGATTTATTGACCGCAATGTTTATGTATTTTGAGTTCAACTCCTGCATCAAGTTTTTTTTTTAAATGTACAGTTTACGTAGGCTATTCTGCTCAGTTGATTTCAGGTTTTGGAAAATGCGCGAAAATGGGTCAGTAGTGTTCTGATTAAATTCAATTTAATAATAAACTATTTCAAACGAAAAGTGTAGAGTGACTAATGCTTATTCTTGAAACAAAAATGGTATATACTGAAAATATTTTACGCTATTAATGATGAAACACTGTAAGCTATTTTCTCGACGATGTGTAGATCAGTTTAATCTATTCACTATCTATTCTATACATGTATCTTTCTAGGATTTCTGGAAGACAAACAAGCAACAAATCAGTCTGATGTGAAGAATCTTAGAACGAAAATTAATAAAAGCCGACACGTAGGCTTCGACAATAAAAGTACGACAGCAACAATCTTCAACATGACACCATGTATTGCTTTAAATTTACAGTGCGTTGTCACCTTTATCTCTTATATGGCCTCTATTATTTTCTTCTGAAACACTGAAATGATCTAATAACTTGGACACAACTGGACCTCTTGATCTGAACGAGCTGTAAGTAGTCCCTGGGCACCCAGTAGAAGCCATATTCCGGCGCTGTTAATAGAAAGATTGGAATTAAATGTCTTGTGGAGATATTGGAATGCAAAAGATCGATGATGCCTCCACCTCACCAATCAACTCACGTTAATTAGCTGGGTTGTCCGCGTAATTGTGGCACCTGGAGCGGCAAATTGAAGCTTTCTGGACATAATAGAGAAGGCTGGATATTGCGTCTAACCACCACACGTGGAACCGCCAAAGCACAAACTAGAATATTAAAATGAGATCAAAACTGACTCCCACTTTCCAACGAGCAGAATTACACAACGAAAAACAAGTAGACAACCTTAAAATTATTACAATTTTCAGAACATAAGTTATTGCAATTAAAGCTAGCCTATTTGCTAGGGAAAAATAACAGACAATAATAATCTTACTGTTTGTTTCCCCCCATTAACCGTGCACGTGCTATATCATGTTTCAGTCAGTTTTAACTAGGCCTATATTTACAAAGAGGTTTTTGATTCATTGAAACGAGGTGTTTTGAATTTTAATCGCTCTTTTCATCTTCTATTTTACAAACAAAATGTCAACAATTTCTAGTGATCGCTGCCCAAATAATTCACCTCCTCCTACACACACGAGCCCAAGCCAGAAGGTCCTGGTTGCGCATGTGATTGATGGCCTTATTAGAAGCAGTTCTTGTAAGTGTGACCAAGTTGATTAAAATGCATATGTTTGGAATAATATGCCATTTAAACCGGAGCAGTTAACTCAAAGACGGATTTATGTCTGGTTGTTACATTAAATTACCTACGGCGAAGGTAGCCTATAAGAAATGGCCAACGACAAAATTGACAATTAAAAATAAAAGAAATAAAAATCTAAAAACCATATCGGACTGATAGTTCACCACCGTCTAATAAATTTAAGCTTGTTCGATACCTAAAATGTGACATTTTATGCGCGTACCCAAAGCCAGCTTACCTGCACGTGTGTTAAAAAGAAATCTGTCAGTTCATGTAGTTTATTTTCAGTGCCTAGGAGCAGAATAATATTACAGCCATCTGATTAATCTGTACTTTGATGTATCCTATGCACATTTAGGTTGCATGTCCATCATCTAGAAATCCAAAAACATGTTTGTAACCATGATCACATTACACACCAAAAGTGAAACAAAAACAGTGGTAAAGATCTGTATGACTATATTGTGAGAATGAGATTTGACATCTCGTTTCCTTTTTTTCTGGAGCGACAATAGGCTGGGGCGGTACCGCGCATCTGTCAGTTAGAGCGCATCTCAAAGCGGCGACTGTTTAAAAGCCTGTTTACGTTCTAATTTACAGCAGGCAGAGCAAGGCGTGAATGGACCGCTCACTGCCTAATGATGATGAATGGGGAATTAATGCGCAAGTGTACGGGACAATCTGAGCCTTCATCTGGTTAAATAGGCATTCAATAGCATTAAGAAAGTAGAGGTCACATTAAATCAATCGGGTGTGTGAAAGTCATATTCCTCTGGCGTCTATCAGCGTTATTACGGCGTACCGGAGACAGTGAGTCCAAGTTGAGGAAACAGTCAGGCAGGCCAAAAAAAAAATACCCTTTGTAATTTATCCGAGAGAGAACAAAGCATGATGGGTACCGTTTTATTTGGTATAGAACTGATCCGCTTAGCGTATGTTATTGTAGAGCATGTCTTTATTTACAGCATTTCTTTCAGCACAGTTTATTCTCCATTACCCTGTTTGCCAAAGCAGTCAACTTGGGCCTGCTGACAGGCTTCAAGTTAATCTTCTAGCGTTGCTTAGCAAATTAGGGTTCCTCCTCCAATGTATTACAGGTGAATAGGGCATTTTCTGTCTCCAAAGCAGTCTTGATCAGGGGTAAATCAATAAACTGATATTTTAAATAATATTAAGATTCTATCTCTCTTTCTGATATTTTACGTCACATTAAGTCAAATTTGCAACCTCTTATATAGCTGAGAATATCTTCCAAAATGAACCTTATTTTTCACTAGTATGAGATTTTTAGTATGAGCTAATGTTTTTCAAAATAATATCATTTAGATGTGTCTTTAAGAATATTAAACAAATCTGCACCACACTGTAAGATATGGGCTGACAGTTTTCCAAACCTTCTGCTATACTCTAGTCTTGAAATTGAAATATATCCAACTTCCAAATATAGCCTATTTTAGAAATATCACTGAATTTAAGCTTTCAGTACACTGCTGTCTATTCAGTCCTCTAAAGAACCTATACTTGTCTTTATATTTGAATCTGTTCTGTTGGTACCAAAGCAATCAATTACCTACATAAAGTCACATCATTAGTCATTTCAGAGAACTCAAGCAAAACATTGGTATAGAAACACAAGAGGCAGTAGAAGTTAAACATCTGAATATTAATCTAAACAAGATTTCAAACAATAGTGTCATGGTATGTTCACAGTTAGAAACATTTGTAAAATTTCATCTAATAATTTAGATTTAATTAAAATTTGGACTAGGTTATAATTAATATCCCAAGCATTTCCTCAGCAAGCCTAAATAAAACCAGAGGTACATATCATATTCCAAAATCAATCATGCTGTTGTACATCAAAATAAATGAATTAAAAATTTGCTATCGCTTTTGCTCGACAAGGGAATGTAATTGGATTTTCTCTAAAGCATACATTGATCTACTGAGAAAACCATGCTGCTGAGGTGGGTTTTTTAACCACAGGAATTAACATAATCACATAAACACACGCTCAGTCCTGCTCTGGAGATCTACCTTCCTGCAAAATGCAGATCCAATTCCAACTGAGCACCAAAATAATCATTTAAAACAGTGGCTTTATATATTAGTAGAGGCTCCAAGACCTAATCTATACAGTGGGTACGGAAAGTATTCAGACCCCCTTAAATTTTTCGCTCTTTGTTATATTGCAGCCATTTGCTAAAATCATTTAAGTTAATTTTTTTTCCTCATTAATGTACACACAGCACCCCAAATACTGAGCATTTTTCAGTTTTTCTTTTTTAATAAATTTGCAAAAATGTCAACAATTCTGTGTTTTTCTGTCAATATGGGGTGCTGTGTGTACATTAATGAGGAAAAAAAATTAACTTAAATGATTTTAGCAAATGGCTGCAATATAACAAAGAGTGAAAAATTTAAGGGGGTCTGAATACTTTCCGTACCCACTGTATGTGCCAGACAGGCATAGATATCCTAAATGTGCATTGCCTGGGCTGGGCACTACAGAATCAGACTTGAAAACCTTACTGCATCCTTAAATGAAAACCAGAATCATGCAGGTACACAAAAATTGTGTTGTAGATTCTCCATGAAAGAGAACCAAAGGAGAAAAGACTCCAGATACAACATAACATCCATCAAAATCTGTCAAGACTTTCAGCATAACTGTCAACAATGAGCAATATTTTTAAGGCTAAACAGTAAATGGAAATGTTTATTTATTTGCAGAAGGATACTATAAATCTGAATGACTACATACTGTTACACTGTTGTATGTGTTTTGGGAATCTTTAGAATTTAGATTAAAATCATATTGGTGTGTTGTACACAGTCAAATTATATATTCAGTGCTGTATTGGAACACTACTGTTCAGTGTTTTGTTCACGGCCATCAACGTACAATTAAGGATGTATGGTCAATTTCACCACAGAGAGCCATAAATAATTTCTAGCTATAAACCCCAGTAGAATTATTCTCCTCTCTCCCTCTCTAATTCTATCTCTCTTTCTGTCTTGTTCTATATAGATCTACTGTGGC